TGTCCACCTTAAACGATGGGCTTGGCTGTGGCCCGGGTCCCCAGCCGAGGCCCCGCCTGAACTGCCGAGGAGCTCCTGTGGGTCACGGACAGAGGGGCGCGTCCCGCCCCTGGGGCAGCTGCCTCCGGGAGGGTGTGGCCACGCCTGTGGCAGGGGGGGGCCGGGAGGCCAAGCTGAAGCCCAGTCTAACCTCGGACCCGGGAGGGACGTGCAGGTCGTGGTGCTCGAGGGACCAGTCTGCTTTACCATAGGCGTGGAGCGTGGCTCCGTGGCTCTCCTGGGCTGCTCTGGAAGGCCTAGTTTCCATGGGTCTGAGCCCCAGAGAATTTCTTTTTCATGCTGACACAGGCTGGCCTGTGCCTGTCCCACCAGGACGCTCGGCCCCGGCCTGACAGGGGATGTTCTGGCCTCTCTGGGGTTTGCTGGGACCAGGGAACAGGCCTATGTCTGGGCTGTCGGGCCCACGGCCCAGCCGTGTGGGGCCACCCACAGCCCCCAAGCCCCTCACGCTCAGGGCAGGTGCTCCCCCAGGAGGTGCACCCCTGGGCGTCTGGCACCCACTCCCGTGGCTCTACCAGCTGTGGCTGTTCTTGCCCTACCCCCAGGGTTGGCCTGGCCCCTGGTCACCTGGGACAGACAGGACACAGGGGCCTTCCAGGCCTGTCCACAGCGTCGGCCCTCACAGCACATGTGACAACTCTCCCTCCTCAGGGCTGCGGAGGGCCTGGGCAGCCTCGCTGCTCTCCCCCACCGGCCCACGACCAGCGGTGCTGGGGCCAGAAAGCGTGTCCCTCTCAGGCCGGGTACAGAGGCTGAGGCTGGACAGAGGTCGGGCGACCCGTAAGCACCTCAGTGGTCCCGCCCCCGCCAGAGCGAGTCCCTTAGAAGGTGCTCAGAGCGAGGTCCCCACCACTCTGGCCACCTATGGAAGCAGGAAGCCCACACCTGCCTCCTTCACAGTGCCCTGCAGGGAGCCTTTGCCCCAAGACCCTGTAGCACGGGAGGGGGAGGCCGCTGGCTGCGGTGGGCCATCTGTCCCATCAGCAAGGGACGGCCCCCACCCCAGACCTGCCTCTGCCCATCTCGGCTCCAGGGAGGCATGTACACACCCATAGGTGTGTGCACACACCACACACACACACCTCACATCTGCACACCCACGCAGGCACACTCACACCCACACACGTGTGCACACACCGCACACACACCCATCACACCCACACACCCACACAGGCACAGTCACACCCACACGCGTGTGCACACACCTCACACACCCACACCCATCACACCCGCACACCCACACAGGCACAGTCGCACCCACACGCGTGTGCACACACCTCACACACCCACACCCATCACACCCGCACACCCACACAGGCACAGTCACACCCACACGCGTGTGCACATACCGCACACACACACCTCACATCTGCACACCCACACGCGTGTGCACATACCGCACACACACACCTCACATCTGCACACCCACACCCATCACATCCGCACACCCACACAGGCACAGTCGCACCCACACGTGTGTGCACACACCACACACACCCATCACATCTGCACACCCACACAGGCACACCCACACCCACACACCCCAATATACTCATGACAAACACTCACATGTGCACATACTACACGCACACTGAAGCACACTACACACACCCACACGTGTGCACACTCCACACGGAGATGCATCACATTTGCACACCCACACAGGCAGCCTCAACACACCCACACATGCACACACAAACACACATGGATATACTCGTGCTCATACCCACCCACTGACCTACCTGTAACACACGCCGCCGAGCACGCCACTGCCCCCAGGGCCCTCTCCCACGGGGTCTCGTGGGTGGGCCGGCTTCCTCAGCCCCTTGGCCTCCCTGGGGTGTCAGGAGGTCTTTAGAGACACGGCCCCAAGCATGGCCGCACCCTGGGTCCTCCCCTAGGGCGCTGGCGCCTGTCTGACCGCTCCTCGTGGTGGTCAGGGCTGTGGCCTGGCCCTCCTGCTCTGCCTGCTGAGTGGTCGTGAGGGTGGGGACAAGTGTCTCCCAGGCTATGTCCATCGCGGTGCTGGGCCACGGCCCTGTTACTCAGCCACGGTCGTCCCGAAGTGCCCACGTGACTGACGACAGGCGTGGGCTGGGAGGACCCGGCTCCTGCCTGCGCCCCTCAGGGCCTCTAGGGCATTCTCAGGATTCCAGGAGCTGCTGGCCCCCGGGCCCTCCAGGGCAGCTGGGAATTGGTGACCAAGTTGGCACGCCTGGGGACCGCC